TAAAAATTTCATATGTGGCCAGGCAGTGTTGGCGCACGCCTTTAATCCCAGCACTCGGGAGGCAGAGGCAGGCGGATCTCTGTGAGTTCGAGACCAGCCTGGTCTACAAGAGCTAGTTCCAGGACAGCCTCCAAAGCCACAAAGAAACCCTGTCTCAAAAAAAAAAAAAAAAAAAAAAAAAAATTTCATTTGTGTACTGCATTTGCATCACGCCCCCACCCCCTCCTGAGCCACCTTTCTTCCCTCCAACACCTCCCATGTTCAGTTCCTCCCCTCAAATTCATGACCTCTTTTTCTTTTATTATTCATACACACACACACACACACACACACACACACACAAGCACATATGAATAGATGTGTAACTACAACCTGCTGAGTTCAGTTAGTATGGCTCATGAGTATGTTTTTTGGGCTGACGACTTGATGTTAGATAACTCATTGGGGATTCATCCCTAGGAAAGACTAATTCTCCCTCTTTCTACATTCATTAACTCCCTGTAGCTCTTCATCTAGGAATGGGCTTGTTTTTTTGTTTTCTTTTGTTTTTTTCGATAGAGCTCTCTGTAGCCTAGGCTGACTTGCAGTTTACTTTGTTGCCATTCTGGCCTCAAATTCACAATAATCCTGTCTCTGATTCCTACAAGCTGGGATTAGCCTGAGGCATAATGTTAATATTTGAATTTTACTCGTCAACAAGAAAAGTGAAAACAACTGAAAGGAGAAACAGTAGACTGTGCTGTATTAATTACTAAGGGAAAAACCAAGGCAACATCAGGTAAGACTTACAAAACAGCAATGTTAGGTGGCTGGAAAGATGGCTCAGAGGTTAAGAGCGCTGACTGCTCTTCCAGAGGTCCAAAGTTCAATTCCCAGCAACCACATGGTGGCTCACAACCATCTATAATGAGAGCTGGTGACCTCTTCTGGTGTGCAGATATACATGGAAGCAGAATGTTGTATACATAATAAATAAATAAAATATATTTTAAAAAAAGAATGTTAGAGCTGGAAAAGCATATAATACTGTTCAACCCCCCCCATTAAAATCTAAGCTCCACGTTTTTGTCTTTAAGTTTCAAAAATTATTATTTTGTTAGTATATTCTTTTTTTTTTTTTTTTTTTTTTTTGTTTTTTCGAGACAGGGTTTCTCTGTGTAGCTTTGGAGCCTATCCTGGCACTCACTCTGGAGACCAGGCTGGCCTCAAACTCACAGAGATCTGCCTGCCTCTGCCTCCCGAGTGCTGGGATTAAAGGCATGCTCCACCAACGCCCGGCAATTTTTTTTTTTTGACACTCATTTTTTAATCTAGTATTAAGTCATCTCTAGAAGGCAAATTTTAATTTCAATCTTTTGGTAAAGAAAGAGTTAGAGGATTGTGTGGCAGGCATTCAAAAGGGAAGGATAGCATAAACTAAAACATTTTCCACATTTTTCTCCAATTTGTCATTTTTGTTTAAGTAATAAGGGCCAAAAAGCCAACTACAATGCAATGTGTTCCACCTAATATTTAAAAAATTTTGCAGAAGTCAGGTATAGCTTATTTAATCCTAGCACCTGGGAGGTTGAGGCAAGCTGATCTGTTAAATCCAGAACATCTCGGTCTACAGAGCGAGTTCCAGAATAGCCAGGGCTAGAGACCCTGTCTCAAATTCGTGCAACAAACACATACACACACACACACACACATACACACACACACACACACACACACACACACACACACACAGAGAGAGAGAGAGAGAGAGAGAGAGAGAGAGAGAGAGAGAATGAGTATAAATGAGTATAAATGAGTGAACTTACTCCAAACTGATGATCTAATTGCCAGAGGCAGAAACTAACATCTGGTTAATCTTCCTGTCAAAGAGCCCTTTAACAGTTTTGGCACAGACACAGAGCTATCAATCACATTCTTCCAAATAAACAATTGAGGAAAGAGATGAATTTTAAAATGTCCTTTGCGGGGCGCAGTGGCATACAACCATAATCCCAGCTTCTTGGGAGATTTAGGGCAGAAGGATCACTTAAATCTAAGAACCTGGGCCAGAATGGGCAACACAGTCATACAGTGGCCTATCCTCCAATGTCTGGCCTGAAGAATCTCTCATTTGTGTACACCTGTCTCTGACTGTGTGTTAGAAGAGTGGAAAAGAGAAACAGAAGGCAACATAATTAATAATGAATGTGAAACCAAACTATCAAGTCAGATATACCACTATCTGACTTGATTTAGTTCAAAAGGCTAAAAAAAGTTTTTTAAATAAAAAATTTGAGGAACTGAGAAGATGGCCTAGTAGGCAAAAAACACTGTAAGCATAAGGAACAGAATTCAAATTTCCAACTAAAAAGCTCAGCATGGCTGAGCATACCTTTAACCCCAGCGTTGGATGGCAAGACTAACTGAAATGGCAGGCTCCCACTCACTGAGAGATCTGTCTCAAGAAAGCAGAAAGTGAAAGAGAAGACCCTGGCATCCTCCTCTGTCTCTTCATGCACTCCAACAGACATATGCACCTGGGCACTCATGTGCATACACCACACACACACAACACACACTTTTATAGATAGTCTCACTGTGTTGCCTTGGCGTACATGCCATATACCTCACACTAGTCTTAAACCAACAGCATTCCTCCTGCCTGACTGACAAGTGCTGGGATTACAGATATGTGCCACCAGACCCAATTAATTTAACTTAAAAAAAAAAAAATTAAACCTAGCAGACGTGGGTATAACTGAATTTGAGGCCTGCCTGGTCTACAAAGTCCCAGGCAGCCAAGGCCATGGTTGCGCTATATAGTGAGACTGTCTCAGAACACACACACACACACACACACACACACACACACACACACACACACACACACGTAAAGTCATTTCAAAAGAGATTTTCAATCAGGGGCTGTAGAGACTTAACTCTGGTTAAGACCACTTATTGCTCTTGCAGAGAACTCAGGTTGGGTTCCCAACACCCACATGATGGTTTATAACCATCCATAACTCTAGCTGCAGGGGATTTGACACCCTTTTCTGACTTACATGGGCACCAGGCATGCACATGCCAACATATACATATATACATGCAGGCAAAACATTCATATACATTAATTAACTCGATCTAAGAACCACAAATTTACTAGATTTTTTTTTTTGGGGGGGGGAGTTGTTTGTTGTTTGGTTTGGTTTTTGGAGACAGGGTTTCTCTGTAGCTTTGGAGCCTGTCCTGGAACTCAATTTGTAGACAAGGCTGGCCTTGAACTCACAGAGATCGGCTTGTCTCTGCCTCCCAAGTGCTGGGATTAAAGACATACACCACCAACGCCAGGCTAAATTTACTAGGTTTCAAAGGAAGACACATTAGTAAATATTTAAAAACAGTTTTCTTCTGTGCCTTTACAATATAATCTCACTGAATCTTGGTATTTTAATATCAAAATATTCTAAATTGACTTATTTGAATTATTAATATAAATTCAAACACTGGATACTAAAGTTCAATTCCCCTTATTGATTCAGCATTTATTCTGCATACATGTTAACACCTAAATATATAACCACAAGAACATATGTAAATTGTGAAAGTGACTATAAAAGTAAGAGCCTGAAGCAAATTTCCAGAGATGAATGATAGTAAACAGAAACTAAAAACACAGTCCCATCCAAGGAGAAAATCAAGTAGGCACACAACTAAGAAGTCTTCAAGGGAACGAATTCTTTAAGAGGGGAAACTGCCAGAATTAGCCAACAGAGTCAGAACAGACTGCCAACAGAGATCATGTTTAAGGCAGGTCACTAACTAGACTAAGAAAGTCAACACCCAAAAGTCAATGTTTCCATTCCCCAAATTTGAGTTTCAGAATGATCGTTCCAAACAGATTAATGACCAAGACTAGACCAGTTAAAGGCTCTATCTTAAAAGTTTTCCCTGTTATCTGCTGATCAAAACATAATGACCCACAGGAAATAAATGTGCAGTGAGGTTTGTGAGGCTATTCCTGTACACTGAAACTCTTTTACCTGAAGAGATGTGTGGGGGGGGGCACGGAGACAGAGACTATATATATTATATATAATATATATAATCACTTTTTCTGGGCATGTGGCTTAGTTGGTAGAGTACCTGCCTAGCCGTCATGAAGTCCTGGGTTTGATCCCTAGCAATAAATAAACTTAGTATAGTGGCCCAGCCTATAATCCCAGCACTTGGGAAATGGAGGCAGAATGAGCCAAAATTCAATTTATTCTTGACTACTCACTGAGTTCAAGGACAGCCTGGTCTACATGAAACCCTGTCTCAAAGTAAGTAAAATCTCCATCCTGGTCCCTAGGGAAGATACTTTTTTTCTTTTCTATCCAAAAATGCTAGGGGGAAAAGAAAAAGAAAAAATCATAAGACTCCTTCATCGTAACACAGTAAGAGTCTACTGTCCAAACACATGCCCTACCTTAGTGTAAAAACTTTAGCTTAAGTCAAGTAAATCTAGGCCGAAGAGACAAGATGGAAGGGAGCTATCACAGGGCAGGCTGTAAAGCTGAGGTGGGCAGTTACCAGCTCTGGGGAGGACAAACTTCTGGGCAGTTAAGATGGATGGAATGGCAGGTGTATGGCACCTCACTCTCCTGGATGTCGGATTGCTCTTGGGTTTAAAGAAACGGAGAACTCCGGCTCTCCTGAGTGAATATGTTCAAGAGTTCCCTATGAAACTCTAGGACTTGACTATGAAGGAAAACGGGGGTGGGGGGGGACGAAATAGCGAGACGGGGGAGCGATTCAGAGAGATCGAAAACAGCTTTTGGATGAAATCGTCCTAGGACAAAGTTATGTCCCCCGGGGGATCCCAGACGGCGAAGGACAGGGCCACCCCACCTGATGAAGGCTGGCGCTGTTACCCACTGGGTCGGCGATCCGAGACTGCCCCGCACGGGTGGGAAAGTCTGCAAGGGGATCTGAGCAGAAGTTAACCTGCCAGGAGGGAGAGGCGCGAGTGGGGCAAGTACCTGGGCAGGCTGCGACTTCTGGAAGCGAGGATGACTCGGGGAGCCGGGGGGATCTCGGCA